ATGTTCCAGAAAATATGGACGCAGCTTCCGTGCAGCGATGATCAGAGCAAAGGCTAACTTCTCCATATATGGATATCGTAATTCAGCGTCATGTAAGGCTTTGCTAACGTAATATATCGGGAACTGTTGAAGTCAATCTTGTCGTATAAGAACGACACTAACAGCAACGTCACTTACTCCCAGGTACAAATACAAAGGTTCATCAGGAAGAGGTTTCTGCAATGTCGGTAACCGTGAAAGAACTTCTTTGATGTTGTCAAAAGCATTCTGACATTCCACTGTCCATTCAAACGGCTTCTTCTTTCTGATAGCATCAAAGAACGGCTTACAATGATCCGTCGACTTGGAAATGAATCGATTTAGAGCCGCCAGTCGACCAGTTAAAGCTTGGACACCTTTAATAGATGTCGGGGGAGCCAATTCAAGTATGGCTTGGATCTTGACAGGATTGGCTTCGATCCCTCTCTGACTCACCATATACCCTAAAAATTTCCCTGATCCGACTCCAAAAGTGCACTTCTTAGGATTAAGGACCATGGAATATTCTCGGAGAATGTCAAAGACTTCTGAAAGTAATCGTCTCTCAACTGTACTCAGTGCACCCTAGATCTGCGAACTACTTCCTGTGGTAAGAATTATTTTTTTTATTTTGTTCATCTACTTCGATCCCTTTGTTTTTATTCTCGACATCATGAGCGTATCATGGGCGTCTTCCGGTGACGATGAGTTGGATGTCATGATGATCAACATGGTCCACTCCGGGGAGATGGAATTGTTGTCTGAATACGGTCGGTGGGATCCAATGTTCGTCGAACGCCTAAGAATCCAGCTAAATGACATTGATGGGGACAAAATCGTAGAGGAAAATGCTATCGATGACCCGAGATTTTGGAGGCGACCCATTAGAAGATGGGCAGACCCCGAACTTACATCCCATGGTGAACCGAGTATACTTACAGATGCTGATGTTGTCATGTTGCGGAGCGAAATCCGCGTTCCTACGTCGGTACACTTATTTTCTCCATACCCAGGTGAAAGAATTACATGCCCCCCACCCGGATGTGTCGGCGTGTTTGCCGAGAGTTTAAGATCAGGATTGAAATTCCTTTTGCCGCGTATAATCACTGAGTACTTGCGGGACTGGGAATTTCCGATATGCCAGATCGCTCCGAATTCATGGAAGCGAATCATTAGATTGTTGGTGCTCTTCGCCGAAAAGAAGTGGGATCTACCATCGGCAAAGGATATGAGGAGTATGTTTACATTTCGGAAGAGCCCGGATAGACAAGTATCAGATCCGCTTCTTACTTTTTCCATTGTCGGTGAACCCCAGCCAAGAGTCAAAGTTGGCGAGTTAATAATGGAGGTCCCCGACACATTACACGGTTTTCAAGAGGAATGGTTATGGGTCAGTGGAGACTCGCAGTGCCCCGACTTCGCTAATGATCTTCTTGACGATGGGACAAGTATCCCAACGGCTATTAAATCTGGTTATTGTAAGTTGTTTACCGTTTTCTTCACTTTGGTTATTAATATCTTGTTTTTTGTTTCCGCTAACAGGTGGACTTTTGTGACCTTGTAGCAAAGCCAACGGGAAAGAGAGAACCCAAATTTGAAGGTTTGTTGTACGATCAAGTGGACAAGTTATTCGAAGTCTCTCACAATAAGCGACGATACCAACGGCTCGTGAAAGATTCCCGATTAGAGCTAGCTGGTTTATCTCCCGGGATACTTGACTCTTCATTTCAACCAGGTAATCTTCTCGCTTACTTTGTTTTATCCATCGCATTGATGAGGTCGGACTAACTTTAAATACTTTGTAACAGTCTATTATCCATTGCTGGGATACTTCGGTTTTGGAGATCCCGTAGAGGCAGAAGAACACCGGAGACGTAATCCGAACTTCGGTTTAAAGAACAAAGTCGGAAAAAACAAAAATCTCCGATCAACTGAGATGGCGGGACGTATGAACCTCCTGAAAGCATGGAAGAAGAATCCGAACCAACCTCAGGAAGCAGTCGGTGAGCCTTCAACGGCAAGAGTGGAGCCAACACCAGCTATCGTGAGCGAGCCAGTCGTTTCCGACATCGCACCACTTGACGTCGCTCCATTGCAGCAAGTCATGACGCCGGTAGACGAGCCTACTACAGTGACCGAAATCCCGCAAGAAGTGCCGGGAGAACCTTGCCTGAGTGTAGTTCAACGGCGCAAGAGATCCAGCGTGTCTCACGTGGCCGAGAGGATGAAGAAGAAGCCAAACACTGGCGCCGGCAAAGATAAGGAGGAAGAAGAACCTGAGATCATCCTGAGGGACTCTTTCCTCAAAGTCAATGAGAAAAAAGCGGCGGAGTTAAAGTTACCAGTGGGCGTGTTTGACCCTTGGTTCTCAATGTTCCAAACAGTCGCCGAGCCAAAAGTGACGATTAACCATCGGGTCCCC